ATCTGTATACAAATCATATATATTACAAATAAGTTTTAGTAGATAAACTAGCTCCAAATACTAGTTGCCTTAATTTTAAATGAATGGTGTACAAGTTAGTAAGCTTGTAGACCATATAAAGAGATTTTTTTTTTAAAAAAAATAGACAATTCTGTGATAAATTGTTTACAAGATAAAATCTACATAATGCTTGAAAAGCAAGAGGCAAAAAATTACTTGTAAGGCCAGGAGGAAAAAATAAATAAAAATGCTTCATTTGCGATGGCTCAAATCAACTGCAAACCATTTGTCCCAGGAAAAAGGTTCAAGAATGTTAGACTGCATTCTAAAGAAAATGACTCATCAGTCAGAACTGTGTAAGAAAAGGCCAAGAAGCAATCAAGAACCGCAGCACAAGCCATGTGCGTTTCTTTTGTTTAGTGCAACTTCTTTCTTTTTAATAATTTGCCCTCTCATAAAGGCCTTGCTTGCATCCCTTACTGTCGTTACGTCGATGCCTTTATTAAGATTATTCTCAAAAAAATTCTTTCAATTTCTCTTTACAGTCCTCCATCATTGATTCCTTTTGTAATAAAGTTTCATTTAGCCTCCATCTCTAAGTTCTAACTCTTCTCTTACATGTTAAAGTCACTGGGTTATGACTGGAAAAAGTCTTTGGCAATAACTCCATTTTAATATTACACCTAACCAGCTTTTCAGAAATCCAAAAGTTATCTATACTTGAGAAAGTTCCGTGTCTTTCAGAAAAATAAGTGTATTTGTTATAGTCACCATCTTTATGTCTCCATATATCTATAAATTCAAAATTATCTAACATTTCAAAAAATATTTTCAGTAGTTTGCCTTGTGTTGTTTTAATTCCTTTCACAGATATTCTGTCTTTTGGAGGGTAAGCCATTCCAATCTGATCTTCCAATAAATATCAATTTTCATATGGCAAGTCTATTGCTTTTCCCATTAGTCCTTTGAAAAGTATAGCTTTGTTTTTTCAGGCATATGTTCCTAGTATCAGAATCTTTATTTCATTCAAATTAATTCCATCTTCACATAGCTGCCCTAATCATTAGTCAGAATCAGTTTTAGTTGTACTTGGGGGTTTATATACAAAAACATTTCTATTTTTCTTAGTCTTCTCTGCTGAAATAGATTCTTATTCCAAATGATTATAAATCAGTGTTTGATCCTTTTTTCTTATACATGTTTACTGTAAGCAGACTTTATCTTTTCAAATAATGAAATACCTTATTTCACTTTTGAGGAGTACTCATCCCAGTTACATCCACATTAGATAGTTAAATACATATTTATGTTGCAAAAGTCTATACCTGTAGTGCCCAACGTGGGAATTTCTTCCAGTCTCTTACAGTATTTGCTGCATAACTGCTTTCTTTTGATTCTCTTGCATCTCTTCCAATTCCTGTTTAAACCTTTCAAGAAAATCTCTTCACAGTTTGGACTAAGTTAAATTGAAATTTCTGCTAGTTAAATTAAAACCAGTCATTCCAATTTATCCCAACCTTTTTCTGTTTTGAATTTGACAGCCAAAAAGATGAATTCCTTTCTTTTATGCAATATTTTGATAGTTTTTTCTTTAAGTAAAATTACATCTGAATTATTATACAGGTAATCTTCGAGTTACGAATGTAATGGAGCCTGCCAATTACATTCGTAACAGGAGGATTCATTGGAGTGAATCACATAACATGAACGTGATCACTCCCTGCTTTCGCCCACACATTTGCTAATTGAATGTGCAGGTCGTTAAACGCACACGAGGTATCTCAGTGTGGGGAAGGCCATGGGGAGAACCTAGTGATGGAACAGACAAACTACTTCAGACCATCCAAAACCTCCTCTGACCCACTGAGATATCTCATGCTCCTTCCCCTGGGATCCCTACATTTCCCCTCCCCCCCCATCCTGTCATGCCAGGTCACTTACCTTGTGAAGATCTAGCAAGCTATCTCCTCTCCAGCCTCTTTGCCTACTTGCAGTCTCAGTGCGAAAAATGTTTGTAAGTAGACAAGACTTTGGGGCAGCAAAATCGCATTGCTTCAACCCTCCCATCAGCTTGCAAATGCTTTTCGCACTGAGACTGGAAGCTTCTGGGGGCTGTGATCTCACACCCAATTCTTACCTTCTTACCTTTGCATATCTTATACTAATTATGTACACTTTATCCACAGCTCCATCTCATTCAAAAAAAAAATGGTAAGGATTCAGCAACACATTCCCTAATATCTTCACCAGGTTTCCTCAAAATTGGGCAGATTTGTTTCTGTCCTAATTACAGCATCTAAATCTTTCCCCATTTTATTTATTATTTTCCATAGTTTCAAAATTTTGTAGATTTTCCCCCTTAATTTATCTTTCCATTTTTTTAATTATATAATTTTCATTTTTTTATTCATCTTGCAAAGTTTTCCTCTATTTCTTCAAGTGTCGCCAAATCTCTCTTGACATATTTAGTCACTGATGCTGTAATATTCTTTTGCAATTCTTCTATTTTTAATTTATAATGAAAAAAGGGAAAGTAAAAAGTAAATTGTGATCTTTTTCCCTCCTTTCTTTATATTCTTAACTCTTTGGTCCCATTTAGCATTCCATAGTTCTATAGGGATATAATTTTGCACAATTTACCCTTATCTCTTTGTTTAATAAAATCAGCCAATCATCTCTTTTAAAGAAATTTAAATAGTGGTTCATTCCCACGGAGATATTCCTTATTTATTTAATTAATTCAAACATACTTTCTAATAAACAATATTCCCAATTCAACTGCTGTCTTAATTTCTTTTAAGCTTTTATACTTCAAATCTTTGGTAGGTTTTTTGCTATTAGTTGCTTTTAAATGCTTACAATTATTTCTTTAGTTTTTATTTTAATCTTGCTCTGGGCCAAAGGAAAACTCACTAGGTCATTTAGTTGCTTTACTGCTTCAAAGATCTTTATAACATTTAGAATATTTGTAATCCAAAGTGAACTAGAAAGTGGTGTTTCGGGCAAATGAAATGTCCTTAATGCATGCTCTACATGAGGCTGTAAGCTTGATATTTCTTCCTTGGCTCTTGACTTTCTCCTTATGACATCCTGTGAAAATGCTTAAAAACAATTAAGCCATTTCCAAAAGTGATTAAGATATGAGGTTTGGGGAATTTTTTTTTATTAATACATGATACATTGCACCTATGAGCTTGATTGAAATCCCTTGATTTATAAGTTGACCACAAAACCTAAGTTCCTGAAGTCCACTCCTAAACATCAGCTGTCTGGAGTACATGTGGGTGCTCTTATGATATATCCTTTTTCTGGAGAGACTTTGCTGGTCAGAACCTTCTGGCTACTCATCTCCATAATGCTATCTCTCCTTTTCATTTGCTACATATCCTCATTGGAAATTCCAGATGAACACTTTCAGGAAAAAATAATAAACTTAGATCAACTTCTAAAATGAAATTTGCAGGTGTTAAGTTGACTCCTTTTAACTTGCTCAGTAATATAAAGGTAAAATTTCCCCCTCACATGCCTGCTAGTCATTTCTGGCTCTAGGGGCGGTGCTCATCCCCGTTTCTAAGCCGAAGAGCCAGCGCTGTCCAAAGACGTCTCTGTGGTCATGTAGCCAGCATGACTAAATGCTGAAGGCGCACAGAGCATTGTTACCTTCCCACCAAAGTGGTCCCTATTTTTGTACTTGCATTTTTTACGTGCTTTCGAACTGCTAGGTTGGCAGAAGCTGGAACAAGTAACGGGAGCTCACTCTGTTACGCAGCAATAGGGATTCAAACTGCTGAACTGCTGACTTTCTGATAGACAAGCTCAGTGTCTGAGCCACCACATCACTGCTCAGTAATACAGTTTTGCTTAAAGTAGCATCTCGGGTCACATTCTTGTGATAAGCATCATTTACAAAGTTATATTTCATTATCGGGATAAAGCTTATAAAATGTTTGTATCCACTGTACAGCGGCCATTTTTTTTTTTAGTGAAAAAGTCTCTTTGAAGTTACGTCAAAATTTCATGAAATTACATCTGATGAAAGCAACAAAGAGATATTTGGGAGTTTTCCAGTATCTCTTGGCCCTTAGGAGGCCTGCAAACATGTCCTTCTCTTCACATACGAGTGAAGAGTCAGCCTGTCAAACTCTGCCAGGCTGACAAGCACAAAATACAAAAATCAGTTGGATTTCTGGAAAGATCTTTATTGCTGGTAGGGTAATAGAATTTTGAAACAAATTATCCTGCACAATGCATACCTAGTGTGATTAAGGCAGAGTTATTCTGTATCTCTTTCTCACAATCTCCCCCTCCTACGAAATCATTTTAACAGCTCTGCTTCTCTCTTTAATGTCATGCTACTTCTTTGGGTTCAAAAGTCTGTTAAGTCAGTCATGGTCAGAGTTCTCTCCTTTTTCTGTATAGCTTTTACACAACATCTTAATCAACACAGCCACTTCCTTCAGATACTTCAGGTTCCAGTGCCATGACTGAATGGGTGACTATTTGATAGCAGTTTGTTTTAGCTGTATTTATGCAATTATGGAGTGCCTTCCTCAGAAAAGTTTTCCTACTTCCTACTTGGTTGATTTTTAGTTATTATTCAATTTGTATAACCACCTATCCCAAGCTAATCACTCTATATTCACTATATTCACTGTAATCACTATAAATTATTATACATTTGGTTGACCAGAAGTATTTTAAAACTATTTATTGAAAATTATTTCATCTCCATAGATGTTTTAAACCATTTGAATCCTTGTTTGTGTTTTGTCTTTATTCTTATAAACTGCCTTTGAAATTGCTTCTTTGTTCCATTGGAGGTTGCTGAATTTGACTAATACCGATATAAGGTCAACTTTTGCCACAAGTTGATTCATAAGAAAATGAAGTACTCAAATCCAAAAAGATATGTAAAGTAAGGATTGTATGATCTATCCAAATGTGTTGTTTCCACCACAATGTTTGGGTTGCTAATGGTTTTGATTTCTGTTTCATTTTAGAACACCTTCCAAATTCAATTTTGTGGACGATGGTCAAAAAACTTGACCTGGCTTAATGGACATCCACCACAAGATGGCGATAATGTCATAGTAGAAAGAGGACAGATTTTACTATTGGATACTAACACAAGCATTCTTAATATGCTTCATGTCAAAGGTTTGACTCTTTTTTTTTTAACCAATCCTTTTTTTCAGGTGAAGGAATTTCATTGTTAGAGAAACCTGAAGGAGAGTACTAGCACATGCTAAATGTAGGGAGCACTGGGAAAATTCTTTCTTGCTAAACTTTACTAAATTATATTTATTCGCCATTCCTATCTGTGTGTATACACTCACAAACTAAAGTAACAAGATTTAACAGTAGCAAAAGTAGCAAAAAATATCCTGCCTCCATGGAATTATTCAATGCTAACTTAAGATACTTTCTTGCTAACATCTTTGCACACGTAACATATAAAGATGTAATATTAGTGCTATAGTAATAACAATAACATTACTGTACTCATGTTGTGATAGAACAACATGGAACTGATTACTGACAATGTTGCTGATGCTTTGTGGTGACTGCTCTGACTTTTATTATATCAAATTACCAGAGTTTCGGATCCTACGATAAATACAAGGGATGTTAAGTAAAAGACAAATTCTGTTAGTTCCCCTTCCACAGATCTCCAAAAGCCACACTAGAGTCTTGCTGTCCCCTTCTGGTGTAGGAAGAAAGATGGAATGGAGCTGGAAGAAGGGAAGACAACACTTTCCAGTTTGTGAACTTGTGAATTTAATTAATTTATGTTCCAGTTTAAAGCCAATGTGTTGAATACAGATGTGTTGAATCCATAAAATTGGAGAGGACCTTGCAGATATTCAAGAGCATTTTTCTGCTATGTGTAGGAAATCCAGTGTAACATCATATCAAATTGTTGGCTATGTAGTACTTGCCAACCCCTATTAGCTGATTGCTTTGTTTTTATAAAGAACCTTTTAATATTCAGTCCTGCTCTGCTGTTTTATTAAACTCATATAACAGCAGCAAATCCCCTTTTCTGTATCTCTGTATTTGAAAATTGTCCCTGCATTTCAGGAGGAGTAGCTGGGGTCTGCCAATGTCTTCTTAGGCACAGATGTACAATTCTGTAGTAACATTATCTAGATAATAATTGCTATATCAGTAAAACATTAAAATACAGCAATACACTGGTTGCAGTGGGGCATGTTCCACCTTCCGTTAAGAATTTCCAAGTATGCCTTGATAAGAATTTTGTATAATGGAGGAAATCTCTAAGTGCTTTGCACTGTTAACTTTAGGAATACATAATGGCTCATGAGAGAGGTAATATTTTTTTATTGGCTTTCTGAAAGATATGTAAAACACATTTTTCAGATGGTATTATTTGGATGATATAGCCGTGTGAACCCAGGAAAGCTTGTCTTATCAACTCATTAGCCTTTTGAACACAGTCAAGTGAAAAAATGGCCTTAGGAATGCAGGAATGGTTCCTGAAACAGTCTTAGTTTCAGACTAAATAAATTAATATGCTCTTCATATGCTGGTTTTTCATTCCATAATGGAGAGAACCGCATTGTATTCTGAAGCAAATATATTTAGCAAACTTACAATGAAGCTTCCTTTAGAAGCAGAGGTATTCAAGACTGTTTTAAATTAACATGTTGGACTTTTCAACTAACCTGCTTCTACTTCTTAAAATATGGTTGTAGTACCTCCCACTTGGCAATAGTTATTACCTAAACAAATAACAAAGGGAGCCTGGAGTGGTGATGGGAGAGATACATGGAAGGAGAGAGGAGACAAAGGAAGATGTACTAGCAATTGGGCCAGAGATATTCAAATGAGCCACAATCTGAGCTAGCTCACAAATTGTCCTATAAAACATTATCATAATGCAGTTCAAAATGAGCCTCGCCACTGGCAGTGTGTCAAGTAGCAGGCTGTGCACCAAATGGGGCATTGCTGAAGTCACAACATCCACCCTTGCCCCATACTGAGAGATTTAACTTTCATAAACAAAAGTGGGGTGCCAATCCATGAGAATGGAAGCTGTGCTACAGGCAGGCCGACTCTAGCCTAGCAGAAAGGCTGCGCAGTGTCTTGCTAGTTCATTTACTTTTATGGAAAAGCAATGCTGTTCATTGCCTTAGAAGGGTTTCATTTGAGTTTGAAAGAATAATAAAACCTTTTTTGCCTACCTTTTTTTTTTTTTTTTAAAAGTGGCAGATAATAACACTGCAGCAGATCAAAACAGTGGATAATAATACATAGAGAAATACATGTGGAAGAAACTGCTATCTTATCACCACTGATGCCTTAACTCATCATGGAGAAACTGTGATAGGTCATAATTTGGCAGGAGTTTATGCATATAAGTTGCTTCCCCCTCTATTATTTTAGATAGGGACATTTTAATAAACAAAACTGTAAAATCATCATTGAAATGAGCTCTTTTGGCTTCATCTGCAGCTGTTTGGAAATAAACTGCTGCTCGGGACAGAACTTTTTCTTCCTCTTTTTAGTTGCCAAACTATATCAATATTATTATATAGAGCTATATTATATTTATATTTTTCAGGACACAACACAAAAAAAGTACTGAAAAATTATGAAAATGTGCATGTAAACTTTGATCTGAAAAACTAAATGCTTTCAAGATCGGATTTTGTTGAGATATTACTACCATTTGTCTTACTCTTATTCGGCCCTGCTTTAAATGATCATGGCATACTTCTAAATGCAGAATGTGTGACCGTCACAAAGTGGACCTGTCGCTGTGACGGTGGCTTCTATTTGCTCCATTGTCTTTTTGTCACTTTAAGTCCCCATGCTTCCACTTCAAAATGCGACTAGATCTCGTAGCTCCATTAATCAAGGAAGTGATCAACTATCATGGTGGTTGGTCTTATTCGACATTCTGTCTCTCTGAAGTCTGTAAAAAAGTCCCTATGAGTAAAAATAGGTTTCCACAGCAGCTGTTACCGTTGCTGCTGATCTTGCCATCCATAAATGCCTGTATGCAATGGTCATAACCTTCCTTCTACTTTGGCACTTGCTTTCTTTGGCAAGCCTAACCACAATTGATGAAGTGCAGCAAACACAATGCTGCTTCAGCTTGGTTCACGTGGAACAGTTTTCCTCCAAACAAGATGCTCTATTCAAGCTGCTGATTAAATCACCATTGCTTGGCACTGGCCCTCTCAGGGAAGAGTCCAAGCAGCTTGTAGGAGAGCACATGCCATCAGAACAGATGGGCACACATGCAGATGGCCAAGCAGCATCGGCATCAGTTTGGGGAGTTTATTTCTGACTGAGAATGCTCAAGCAGCTGCCTCCATGCAACTCTGAGTGGGAAGAAGGCTTTGATCCAGAAAAGTGCTTTCATACGCTGCTTGACTTTAAGCACACATTGAGTTTCATTAATCCTAATGAGAGAACACTAGCATATTAAAAATGCAGCACCCATTTAAATGCTTGATGAATTGGGAAATGGAATTGATACTGTTATTGCATTATGAATGTGTGATTGATTAAAAAAAACCCACTTTGACTCATTTTAATGCAAGACTTTATAGGGACTGCCTTCAACTAGGGTACAATGTTAGAACGGCTGGTGGTACCCTGTTATTTCTAATGAAAAATGTGTGATGCTTTCATAGGTTGGCATACAATTTTTCATCATGTTGTCTTTACTTTGAGGTCCTTGGTGCTCTCTGAGCTTGGGGTTTGTTCGTTTGTTTTTGTACACATTTCATTACCAAACTAGGAACCATCATCAGTGTGAGAAGGGAGTGGGGGTTTGCTCTCATTTCATATTCCATTGGCTTGCCCTGTTGATGTTGGTGGGAGTGGTCTTGGTGGTTCCTTGATTGTTTTTATTTTCTCTGAAATTCCCATAACTAGATTTATAAAGTCTTATAAATAAGAATTTATAGGACTGACATGCTGAATATTTCATAGGAAGTTCTTGTCTAAATTATATTGTTAGGCTTCTCTTTCCATTCCTCTCTCTTTTCAATTATTCCAAAGAGTTTATATTCAGATACTATTTCCATGGAAATCTGATGGAAGTCCTTATTCTTATGATCCATAGATCTTCTATAAGCATTCTATACAGAAGAACCTTTTCTTGGGCTATATTCCCTTAGAGAGAGACTGCCTCATCTGTTCATCTTGCGCTATACAATGGATTTTAAAAGCAAATGTCTAAAAGTGGTTTTTTCCCTTCTTGAGAAAGAAAGAAAAGAAAGAAAGAAAGAAAGAAAGAAAGAAAGAAAGAAAGAAAGAAAGAAAGAAAGAAAGAAAGACAGGCAGACCCATTTGGCTAAACTTTCAGTAGAACCAAAAGGGCATTGCAGTTGCCTGCTGATATATTTTGTGTATATTTTGTGGTTATTATAAGCAGCATAAATATTTGCTATGTCAATGGTGCCAAAATGAATGAGAAAACAAAGACTAAATGGAAGAAGGGAGAGTTAAATTTGCTGTCCCATTACCTATGCCTTTCCAGGAATATTAACACATTTCCTGATAGGGCTTCATTGATGCTGCATGGATTCTAGGCAGCAGAGAATTCATCTTGGTCTATACCCTTATCATCAAAGGACGAAATGCTGTTACAATCCAAGATAAATCTTCTCTGAGATGATGCCTAGATCTGATATCTTCTGGGAAGTCCTAGAATGGTCCTTTTAATCTCCTTCCTTCAAAAAAGAAAGATGATGGCAAATACTGTATCTCTGTTCTTACTCTACCAAAGTGATATATTTGAATTTAAATTATATATTTAGTTTGGTTGGAAGACCTCATATTTACTGTAAGTACAGTTCATTTTTATTTTTCAGGATAACCTGACAGTATATTCTTTGCTTTCTTGAGTAGTCATAATAAACAGAGCCAAATACTTTGGTTAATCAGCATTTATTATTTTCTGCTCAGATCAAGTGCTATAAAAAAAGATCAAGTGCTATGAAAAAAAGAAAGCAGGTTGTGTGTATGTGTGTATCCATTATGTATCCTTGTGTATTATCCTTGTAAAAGCTGAATATTTATTATAAATTAATAAAGTGCAGAAAGGGATGAGTTCAGAAGGCTGGCATTTGAGACACATTATATGTCATTTACTTGTTTAGATAGAAATGCCTGTAAACTCTGAAAAATGTTATAATTAGCTTAACAGACTGGAATGTAATCTTTACCTGTCATAGCAATTCTTCCTCTCTTACTTTACAGATATCTTTATCACTCAGGCATTAGCTTTCTCTTTAGTAATGTCTGGATTTTTCAAAAATGACAGTGAGAAAAAAAAGTGCCCACTGGGGAAAAAAGAAATTAGATTTTTAATATCACTTGAAAAGTATATTTATGGTTGTACTTTATCACATGCATTGACATTGGCTGTGTCAGCTGTTGTCAGAGGTCTTCCATCCCTAGGTACATGTTAAAAAATGTGTGTTCACAAGTATGGCTAGGAAGAAATTTGAAGATCTTTCTACTGAAGTGTGACATAAACTGAATCTTCCTCTCTGAGAGGAACTACTTTGAGACACTAATTTAGAGAAAGTTTACTTAATTCTCATTGTGAATCAATTTGCTCAGCATGGTTCTTACATTCTTAAGCAAATAGAAATATTTTTGTGTGCTTGCCAATGATAGGCAAACAATGATTAACTTTCCGAAAGGGAAAATATCTTATTTAGCATGTTGGTTTCCCAGCATATGGATTGCCACAGTGATTCAGAATCCCAAGAAAATGGAAAACAGACTTGGAGCAGAAACTGAAACAAAGTTATCTATAGACTATCAGTCATATTAGCCTGATAGTGAAAACAACAGCAGGAGCAAAATAGACAGGTTTTGAGGCCAAAGAATAGAGGAAAAACAGTAAAAATGAATTACTTTTTCAGAGAAGTAAATCACAAAAAGACATCAATCTGGAATGTTCAGGGAAACTTGAAAGACTTGTACATGGGTTACCTAAAGGAGCGCAAATTTAAAATTTAAATGCGGCAAAATTTCCAAACTTGAATGAATACTATCTTCTTCTTCTTGTTGTGCCATGTCCATCATCGGACGTTGGCGATCATGTTGGCAATCCTATTTTTGCCAACAGCCGTATGAAAAAGTGCTGTTGAGTTTTGTCCAAACCAGTCCCTAAGGTTTTGAAGCCATGATGTTCTTCTTCTGCCTGGGCCTCGTTTGCCTTCAATCTTTCCCTGGAGGATTAAGTGAAGGATGCTGTATTTTTCTGGGTGTCGCATCACATGTCCAAAATACTCTAACTTTCGCTTTTTAATGGCTTTGATTATTTCCCTTTGCTTTCCCAGGTGGCTTATGACCTCCTCATTTGTGATTTTGTTAACCCAGTTTAACAAAATTTGTATGTTTACATGTAACAGCCGTCTGTAAATCCACATTTCAAATGCTTCTAGTTTCTTCAAGTGGTTTTCTGTCAGAGACAAACTCTGTGAATACAATACAGAAGATAATGTCTTAAAGTTTAAAGTAATAAATAAAATTATTTTAAAGGCCAATCTTTTGATTAACCTCATGATCATATGATCTTATATTAGAAGAAGAAAGTAAGCTAAAGTCAAACAGGAAAAAACAACACCACCAGAATCAACATTTTGTTATCTTTTTTACTAGCATTTTTTCTTCTAATGTTACATTGAGAACATGTTCTCCAGTTTTAGGAAACCAACTTTACTTTCTTCACTGAAAATCATAATAATCAAGATTTTACTACTCTGTGAATGATCTTGCATCTTATGACTGTTTACAGTTAGTGTTATTGTTGTTCACTTTAGGTGGCAAGCTGGCATTTATTGGCCCTGGTCCCCTAGAACTTCATGCTCATTCCATCCTTGTGTCTGATGGAGGAGCACTTCAGGTTGGATCTCCCAGAAAGCCATTCTGTGACATGGCCCATATCCATCTTCATGGAAGTGCCTATTCTGAAGAGATTTTCCCATATGGAGCGAAATTTCTGGCTGTGAGAAATGGAACCCTGTCCATGCATGGTGAGTTATATAGAAAAGTTTTTGCTATCAAATGGATATGCATTTTGATAATATTCATAGTTGTGCCAAATATGGGTCAGGTTTAATGAAAAAATAATGAGATATTTAGAAGTGCTTAGCTTTCACAATTCATACTGCCAAGTTTTAGAGCAGAACAAGAAACAAGTGGCCCTCAAGATATTTTTGAAATTCAAGGTCCATCAGTTTAAACTGTCATTGGTTAAGAGGAAAGGAGGCTGCTGAGACAATGCTTTCCTCCTGGAAATTTTGTTGCTAAGTTTCAATGGATAGTTGACATGAAACTGTAATATGATATCTGAAATAAATGTGTCAACCTCCATTTAGGTTTTAAATGTCAGTTGTACCTACCACATCTCCTCTTGGCCACTATGGCCATCAGCCTGTGCACCATCTGAGCTCTACTGTAACCTCCTGTCAGAAACATACGCAGAATGTTTTCCTTCTTTAGAACAGTAACTTTACAGTATGGGTACAGATTTCTTTTTGTAATTCCCTGCTGCTGTTCTGTCTAACCATTCATGAAATAGATTAGGAAATACTTTGTAGTGGATTTGAATCTAAAGAGATTAATAAAAATGCCAACATCCAAGTTAATAATGAACATTTGACTGGATGGAACCACCCATAGCAATAGTAGCCTTGAGTGCAAGACAAAAGATAAAGCAGGGATCTGCAAAAGAATTTGTAGTCACTTTATTTTGCTGTCACAGTTTGTTTTTACTTTTTGAAAGTGCTGCCAGTTCTAGACAACCTACAGACAAATAAAAAAGTGTGTCTTTGCGAGATCATTGTTATGTGTGTTAGAGAATCTCCATGAATGAATGTATGTTTCTGTGTATTTATTCTAGGTGTCCAAAAATTCCACTTCCTTACCAGAAATTCCCTTTTTAAATATAGGAGGTATGAGATGACCCACTTTATGGAGTGTACATTTTTAAAATTTATTTAGGATTTATTTAGCTATGGAGGGAATATTTGGGTTCAAATGGCAGATTTGCATTGCTTACTCTACCAAATGACATCAGACAAAAACACCCTGAATCTGGCATTTCTGAATTTAGGGTTAATTTTCAATAAACCAGTTTGTTCAACTAAGGCTACATTAGTTGTTACTTACATACTTCTGTGGTTGTAATGCCTCCTTCTGTTACTGAAATCACATGGTAAATTTCAGCTGCTGACAGAAATGGAGCAAAAATGGGCCACAGAAAGCCGAATTTAACAAAATACAAAAATAATGTAATGTAAGTGGGTGTGAATACCTAACAGATCTTAGGTATATAAAATCTTCTCAGGAATCCAGGAGGTTCTTGTTTCTTCAGTTTGGAAAAGAAACACATGGAGTGAAACTATGGCCATGGGCTGGTTATTGAGAGCCTGCCACAATAAATTAGTTGAATTCTCAGCTAAGAAGGAGCCTCCATTCCTCTGTAGTTTGCTACCTGAGAGAGAGAGAGAGAGAGAGAGAGAGAGAGAGAGAGAGAGAGAGAGAGAGAGAGAGAGAGAGTTAAAGACCTATTAGAAAGTCAATGAGACTATATGAGGAACCACTTTATCTTGATGGGACTAACTTGCCCCCTCATTTCAGTGGAAAGGACCTACTTCGGATCCTGTCAGCCAAAGAATTTTAGCTCCCAGGGTCCAGGTCAAGAGCCTTTTCTGCTGTGGCCTCTGCCCTCTGCAATATTTTCCCATCAGAGGGCAATATCCATCTCTATACTCTTGGCCTTCCGGAAGAGCCCAAAAACTTGGCTCTTCTGCTTGGCCTGGGCTCCCAATATAGGCCTGCTACAGTGGGTGTGGTTGAAGGAGTAGAGAAGATTCTCACCCTCATCTTGTTTCTTAACTTTTAATCTTTTTGTTTAAATTTTAATTATGTTTAACACTTTTAAACTTTTTATTATATTGTAAGCCGCCCAGAGTCGCCGTATTAGTGAGATGGATAGCATAGAAATTTAATAGATTAATAAATAATAAGAGAGATAGGAGGATTGCAAAAAAGAGAAATGGTTGTTTGGCTCTTACCCTGTATACCATGCAGGTTCTTGAGAGAACAAAGCTGCCTATATCCGTCATAGATATTCTTGTTCACTAGCAAGAATTCTGAATTTTAAATTCCAGGATACACAGAATGTTTTGATGTTAGGTGAGGGCTGCATGCTAATTGGAATAAAAAAGAACTGGCTTCTTCAAAACCTGTATGATTTATAATAAGCACTCTGGTTGGACTTTAGTACTGGGGAATGTATGCTGTGAAATTGACTTTTTTTTTCTTGTACTATACCTGATATTTCAAAAGGAGAGAATTAACAACTTCTTACTTTCCTATTTTCCCCTTCTACTATGTTTCTGTGAAATGCTCAGGTTCAGATCTCTAATCCAGTTCCAACAATGAGCTGTTTAGCTTTAATACCAACCAGCAAGGGAAGGGCACAGGAATGGTACAGAAATGGGGGGGGGGGGTTATACCATAATTTTCGGAGTATAAGATGCACCTGTTGTGACTCAGGCTCAAATAGGTATTATCAGACGCAATCAGTTCTAAACAAACAGACTTTATTAGAACAGCTGAGAATTAACTCATTCTCAGCGTAGTCCAAACTAATTCAAAACAAATTCTTCATAACACAATTCTTCAGCCTTATCACCAACCTTGGTCTACTGTGGCAAACTGCCAAAGGCTTTTCTTGGCAAAAGTTCAGAAGCAGAAGAAATAAATGCAGCAAGACAAGAAACAAATCTTTATCAGCTTTTTATCAGGTTCGCCTGATTCACTAGTTGCGTCCCTTTCTGAATCGGGACTCCTTGCGCACGGTCACTCATGCCCTCATCACTTCCCGTCTGGACTACTGTAATGCTCTGTACATGGGGCTCCCTTTGAAGAGCACCTGGAGACTCCAACTGGTCCAGAATGTGGCCACGCGGGTGATTATGAAAGCAACACGGCGCTTCCATGTAACACCACTCCTGTGTGAGCTGTACTGGCTCCTGGTGGTCTTCCAGGTGCAATTCAAGGTGTTGGTTACCATCTTTAGAGCGCTCCATGGCTTAGGACCTGGGTACTTACGAGATCGCCTTCTGCTACCGATAGCCTTCCACCGGCCAGCGCGCTCCCACAGAGAGGGACTCCTCAGGGTACCGTCAGTCAAACAATGTCAACTGGCAACACCCAGGGGGAGAGCCTTCTCTGTGGGAGCACTCGCCCTCTGGAATGAATTGCCCCCGGAGATACGGATGATCCCTGACTTGCGCACCTTTTGCCATGCCCTCAAGACGTTATTGTTTCAACAAGCTGGGTTGGCCTAAACATTAATTTTAATGGGTTGTTTTTGGTTTAATGACGTTGAGGCCAAATTATTTAATGTGTTTTTAAATTGTTTTTAAATTTTATATGGGTACTTGTTTTATCTTTGGCTGTGCACCGCCCTGAGTCCTTTGGGAGAAGGGCGGTATAAAAATTAGATTAAATAAATAAATAAATAAAAATAAATCTATCAACATTGTTTTCTGACAAAGAGCCCAAGAGCTGTTGCTGTCTTTTAAGCCTTATGGGAGGGGCCAATCTTCTCTTGGCCTTATGCTCGAGTCGTCCTTTTTGCTTTAGCTGCTCTTGCCTTCTGGCAGCTCTTCTCATGCATGCACTAGGAACAGGCTCCTCCTGTTCCTCTGCCTCTGGAGGCTCCGGAGTTTGCACATCACTCCTTGATGGCCCTGGCCCCATTTCTGCCTCCGACACAGAGCCCTCATCTGGGTTTTCCCTAGCCTCCAGGACTGGCCCATGTTTTTCCTCAGCCTCCTCACTGTCCGACTCCGCTGCCAGCTCTGCAGACTGCTGGCGGACCACATGAGCACCTTAGTTTTTGGAGAGGAAAATAAGGGGGGGTGGGGTGGATTCTGCCTACCTGGTATTCATCTGGCTAGTTCCAGCACATTACTTCGCTTGCTGGTTTTGAGGTTGGGGTTGGTTGGGGCTGTGCTTCTAAAGCACAGCTGATTGTTGGAGGGAGCAGCAATTAGAAAAGCAGGCAAAACATGGAACATTGCTTCATTCACATTGGGGCTGAAAAACAGCTTCAAAACCACAGCTGATCCAGTGACTAAAGCAGGCAAAGGGCGGAAGGGGTAAGAGAAGGCAGCAGCTGTTCCGGGTAGCCATTTTGGGCACCACACGGGATTACATCCAGAGTATAAGACTCACCCAAATTTTCAGCCTCTTTTAGGAGGGAAAAAAGTGCATCTTATACTCCAAAAAATATGGTACTTCTTCCTGACAGCTGTTCCCCAGCAATGAATGTATAGCTTTGGCTGGTCTGGAGCAGTGAAAAGAAACATTTCTTTTATGTGGTAGATTGCAGTATTTGACTTTAGTTCTTCCTGGGTCTGTTTGTGTTCATCCGCCCCCCCCCCCCCCGCCCGCCAAAATATCCTTGTCTAGAATAGAGTTGTTTCCATAATGAACATATTTTGTTGTGCTTTTGTAGTTAAAAAAACCCCAACCAGATAGAACTTTGTTTTCAGAATGGTTCTATCCATTGGTTTAGCAGCTGAGGCTAGAATGTAGGAAATCAGAACAGCAGCTGAAGGAAGCTGAAGAACAGAGAGCTGTGTGGCCCTGAGACATTACTGGAAATGTTTCTTGGTTTTCAATACTTTAGCAATGATGCCGCAAATCTTGGGCTTGCTGCAGAATTATATGCAGTTTGAGCACGATTCCACTGTGTGTATTGTGTACAATTAAATTTCAATGAACGTATATAATCCACTATTTAATGTGAACATAGTGGAAACACACACACACACACACACACACACACACACACACACACACACACACGACTCTCAAAATTAGACAGGAAAGAGACCACTTATTTTGCGCCTTCATGCTTCTTACATCAAATCCAAACACAATTTAGGATCAGCTTGGCTTATAGAATAAAACAAACTGAACTGTTTGACAACATTTTTGTATTTCTGAAATA